ACCTGAGACCATGGGAGCCTACCTAAGCCAGTTTGAGTGAGATCTCCTAAATCAATGTTCCTGACCCTTGATGTCATCGAATCTAGAGCCCAAGAAAGAAAGAAAACAGTCGGTTCGAGATTTCCAGTTTCTCAACAGACCTGCTGCATCAACCTTCCGGACCCATGAGTTTTCATCGTGAAGCCAACAGAGAAAAAAGGACCCATTTAAAGCATTTGGACATTGGTATGGACTATGATGAGTGGCAAAAGCCTCTTTTCAGTATTTGAACAGGACATGGTCACTTGAAATATCAGACTTGATGGTTCCTATTTCTAAAATCACGACTAGGCCAGTGTATTTTCCTGGAGAAATGCAACTTGTCCTATTGTGACAACTATTGTTCATATTTTTCATAATGCTACATGTGTAACATCAATGATTGTGCCCAATGTATCTGTGCAAGTGCACTTTCTAAATGCTTTCCTGAGCAGATCTTAAAACTATTGGAAACTTTATCAAATTGTAAATGTAAATCACATGCGGGTTACCCTTGTAACAGACGAAGGCTGATAGAATGTTATGGCCCAGATCTGGTGATGGGTATGGTAATGGAGAGGCACTATGTCAATGGGGGTCCTGGAAATGGTGGCAGTGGCGGTAGGCATTCTGGCTTTATGCCGAGCTCAAACGTGCCTTGTTCCAGAGGCAAGAGATCCGTAACCAAGTATTGCTTAGCTTAGCCCATGGCAATCCCGATAGCCATGAAGGTTGGTTACAGATGATTTAAGGTTGGGGTATCTCCGATGACGGGCAACCTGTGGGGAAGACCCCTCCCACCTAAAACAGGGGTTCAAGGTCCCCCAAAGACGGGAAAGGGAGGGTGACCCTACTTGACCTAAGCCAGGAGTGCCTCATTTGAAAATAAAAAGGGGTGAATTGTGGGAACACCAGACCTTGAGCAGAGACCCACTTCCCCTTCTGCCTGGGAGTAGGCAGCTGTAAGACAATGTTTAGTAAAAACATGTTTACTAAAAACGATACAATAAGTTCCTGGCCACTTCCCCTTCTGCCTGGGAGTAGGCAGCTGTAAGACAATGTTTAGTAAAAACATGTTTACTAAAAATGATACAATAAGTTCCTGGGAAAGGCCTTCCCACGGAAACCGCCCTGACCTCGACCTTGTCCAGAGACTAACCGCACCTTCAAAAACCCACACACATCCACCTCTGGTGTCAGAGCAGAACCAGCCAGGGGAGAGGAGAGAGCAGAAGTTTCTCTGGTGGGAGCTTTTCTTAGGAAGTTTTTCTTGAACCTTTTTGGAGCCTGCTTAAAGTTCTCTTTATATCGTTGAACGAGTCTCTGTGTTGTCAATCCCCGATACCCTCCGCACGTTCTCGAACACAGGCCATGCTGCAGACGTGACATCTCCATATCTCTTTCAGAGCAGGGCAGTCCACACAAGCTTTCATTCTTCATCCATTACTGGTTGCTGATGCATTTAGATTTTTGCTTCAAGGCCTATTTCTGGGAGGACTCCCTCTGACCTCATCCCCTGCTTCAAACCAACTTCCTTGTCTTAATGCATGGTCACTTCCCACCCATGAAACTCAATAGAACTGGAAACATTTTTTTCTTTTAAATTTTTCCTTCCCCACTAAAATAGAACAAAGAAGACAGAGATCTATCCATGTTGCTCTACACTCATTCCAAATACCCACTACCATGTGTGGTGTGTAATTATAGAACACTGAGTAGATACATTGATTGATACCCATTGGATGGAGCCATTGCTGAGGCCTCTCAAAAGTGTGCTCCTGGGGCTGGAGAGATGGCTTAGTAGTTAGGAGCATACATCCCTCTTGTAGAGGAACCAAACGTGGGTCTGCATAGTGATCTAGGATAGCCAGGACTACATAGAGAGACCCTGCCTTAAAAAAAAGTGTGTTGCCCCATGACTCCCTTGAGATCCTTCTTGGCCTGCAGTGGATCATTCCAACCCAGCTCCTTCCTGCTGAGGGAGAGAAGAGAGTTGCAGACAAAAGCATAGTCCAATGCTGTTGTCTCCAGAGAGAAAATCATTTACTAGAATCTAGAACATCCCCTTGGCCAGCAGACTTGTTTCTATTTTGTTTTATTTATTTTGAAATGTTATGTGAGTCTAAGATACAGACATTTTGAAACGGAAGGTGAAAGTTAGGGAGAAGGGTGGCTGGCGTTTTGTCCTATCCACCAACCATCAAATCCAGGGAGAGAGGGTACTCTTCTCCTCTTCCAGTTTCCTAGGTGATACATGTCAGGCTTTAAAATCCTCAAGCCTGCACCCCAGGAAGAGGTGCTGTGACAGACCCTGAGGCCCAGGAGTGGGGGACCGCATGAAGTCCTTGGGTGGGGAGTTCCATCCACTAGGCAGGACCTGGGCCTTTAGAACAGCTCAGCTTACACAGTAGAGCACACCTTTCCCCTTTATCTGAGGCTGTGTTCCACCATCCACTTCACGTGCTGTAGGAGCCTCTTCCACTGCAAGCATGAGAGCATCCCTTGTCTTCAAAGGTACCCAGCCCCTGAATCTCATTTTCATGTATTCTTGTGTTTAGAAGACCAAGAGGTTGCTTCATCTTGGTGCTAGATATGAAATGGATGAAACTAATATGTCAAGGGGGACGAGTACAACCTTATGACCTTCTCCAAGATGGGCTTGGCCTTTGGGGGTGAGTTTTGGGGCAACCAGAAGACAGGAAACACAGAGACAGCTTGTTAGAAGTGAGTGGTTAGTAGGGTCTACAGGCTACATTTGAGTTCAGGTCTTGTGACACAGAACCATTTACATCTTCATGGCTGTCCTGTGGTGACTTGATGCTGGTGGTGAGGTCTCAAGGGATGCCCATGGGACATCCTTTCCAGCTCGTGGGACCAGCAGGCAGCTTGCCCCTCATTCAGGAGTTGAATATAGGAACCTCCCTGACTCTGTTGACACAGGGCTTCCACTGCTCTTACTTGTTGGTCTCCTGGAGGCTCCCAGGAGTCACACCAGATCTTCTCAAACATCCTCACTGAAGTATCATTGTGCATGCCCCCAAGCAACAGATAGGAAATTTCTTTCAAGTGCCTTTTCTAGCTTAAAAATTCATGTGAATTTTATATCTGACTTTATAATCTACTCATGCTTGCTTTAATATAAATATATTATTTCCTCCAACTATTCAAATAATATGGAAGCTGCCAGTAGAGGGGAGCTGGGTGGCAAGCAGAGAGAAAGCTAGCCTTTCATATAAGGTACTCTGGTTAATTCTCTCCCTAACACGGCCCTTCCGGTAGAGACTCATGTTAGAAGAAACATATCTAATATAAAAGAATTAAGGTATTTTCAGCTTCTATAAAGCATACTGTGAATTCCCTAGAACCTTCTTCCCTAAGAAAAACCATGGTCATGAGTATCTGTGCTATCTTTACTCTCAATGGCCTTGCTCTGTCTGACCACCCTTGTCCCCTGCAGTCTGTGAGTTCTGTCCTCACTATAGTCATTTGCAGATAATGTTCCTGTGCTGGGCACAGAGTGTCAGCCTTCTGCCCATTCTGATAATTGCATGCAAGCTGTCCTTGTTTGCCTTCTATTGCTGAAATAAACACCACGACCAAAAGCAGCTTTGAGGGGGTCGTATTTAACTTACAGGTTAGAGTCCATTGTGAAGGGAAGCCAAGACAGAAACTCAGAGAAGAAACCTAGAGGCAGAACTGGAGGAGAACCATGGCTTGCTCTCCTGTTCTTGCTCAACCACATTTCTTATACAACTCAGGGGTGGCATTGCCAACAGGAGGTTGGGTTCTCCCATATCAATCACGAAAGAGCTCTGTAGCCTCACCTATAGGTCATCTGATGGAGATGATTCCTCAACTGAGGTTCCCTATTCCCGGTGACTCCAACTTGTGTCAAGTTGACAGAAACAAAAACAAAACAAAGAACAAACAAACAAACAAACAACAACAAACCTAACTAGCATACAAGCTTTGCTTTGAACTCAACTCTGTCTTAAACAAAGAGAAATCCTTGGAGAACTTGACCTGTTTAAGACCCTGTTCTGGACCTGGCAGTGATAGCTCATGCCTTTAATTCCAGCACTCTGGAGGCAGAGGTAGTCAGTTCTTTGAGTTCAAGGCCAGCCTGGTCTACAGAGTGAGTTCCAGGACAGCCAGGGCTACACAGAAAAACCCTGTCTCGAAAAACAAAACAACAAAGAAACAAAAGACCCAAAACAAAACAAACAAAAAAGATCCAGTCCTGGTCTTGAGGTCCTGGCTCAGTTTCACAGGGGACTTTTTTGTCTGGTGGGGCCATCTGCTGGTAGCCAGATGCTCAGGAATCTGTCCGAATAAAGGGAGGATGCCATAAGCACTTCACTCAGAGCCAAGATGGGGACAGATAGAGCTGGACACTGTGTCTCTGTTCCCCAGCTTGTAGGTGAGAGGGTGCCCTAAAAAGTAGCTGTGTCCAAAAGGTCAGTGAGCTCCTTCAACAGGGGCTTAGGAGACCCAAGTCCAGAGGATGTGGTGTGATTGAGGTTTGAAGGCGAATCTGTTTTATGTTTACAGGTAAATAGGTTCCCAATAAGTCATTGCTTGAAGAGTTCCTGGCCAAAGTGTCCCCAAGAGGTTTCTTAAGTGGCTGTGGTCAGCAATCAGGTGTCCAAGCTGAGTGTCCTGCAGAGGAAAAAGCTCTTTCACATCGAGGAGACCAGCAGCACTGGAAAGTGGGTGGGGCTCAAAGGTATAGCCCAGCAAACACCATAAAGAGCAGTTTAATGTTCATACTTAAGTGACTTTTAAGTATGGGAAGGCTTGGGAAACTTTAGTTAGAGGAAAATTCCACCAGTCAAGTATTTAGTCATGGGATCTTTTTTGTTTTGTAAGTTCTGTTTTTCAATTTTAAATTTTTTTATTCACTTTACATACCAACCACAGTTTCCTCTCCCTCCCCTCCTCCCACTCACCCCCCCCCCACCTCTTTCCCAACCCCACTCCCCCCATCCACTCCTCAGAAAGGGTAAAGCTCATGGGGAGTCTACAAAGCCTGGCACATTCAGCTGAGGCAGGAAGAAGCCCCTTCCCCCTGCATCCAGGCTGAGTGCAGCATCCCGCCACAGAGAATGGACTCCAAAAAGTCAGCTCAGTCATCGGTTCAGATCCTGATCCCACTGCCAGGGGTCTCACAGACAGACCAAGCTTCACAACCGTTTCCCACAAGCAGAGGGCCTAGTTAGGCACCATGCATGTGCAAAGGAGAGGTTACAGTCGGAGGCATGGTGAGAGCTCATGGAGACAGGATCAGCCCTTTTGGCCTGAGGTAGAGGTAAGAAGCTAGTAGCCAGATGCTTTGCTTTTCTGATATTCAGCTTGAAGTTTGAACCTCAATGTCAGTCTCTGAGTCATTCATTTATTCCTGTTAAAATGTGCAGGCTCCTTAGCTGGTTGGTCTAGAGTTCACGAGTTCTCAGGAGCTCATGTCAGCTGTCTTTGTGGGTTTCCCTGTCATGGCCTTGACCACCTTGCTCACATAACTCCTCCTCCCTCTCTTTGGCTGAACTCCTGGCTTTCGTGTGCTCTGAAAACAAAAACAAACAAACAAGCTGGAACTTGCATGGCACGGACAATCAAGTCCCCCTTCAGAGTGGTGTGTCGGGAGGTGACCCCCCAGTGCTCAGATGCTCACACATCATCCACGGCACTAACTTCAGAGCTCTTCTCAGAGTCACACTCGTGACTCAGCTGCTTTGCTCACCCATCGAATTTTTCAGCTTTGTCTTGATCCCAAAGATAAACCTTGGTCAAGTAAGTGTTGTCTTTCACCAAGCCTACTTCCCTGTAGACTGTAAGTTTCTTGAATCCTTGGAACACATGCAGCTTATCTTTGGCCACCCCAGCCTGGCCACGTATTTCAGATATGCTTTGTCAATATTTGTCTCTGTGGTGGCCCACTCCCCTTCATTGGGATGTTGTATATACAGTGGAACCCAAGTGTCTTAGTTAGGGGTACTATTGCTGTGTAGAGACGCCATGACCACAGCAACTCTTATAAAGGAAACATTTAATTGTGGTGGCTCGCCTACAGGTCAGAGGTTCAGTCCATCGTGCCAGGGAGCAGGGCAGCATGATGGCCGGTGTGCTGGAGCTGAGACTACTACATCTTGTAGGCAACAGGAAATCAACTTACACATTGGATGGTGTCCTGCATATATGAAACCTCAAAGCCCGCCCCCACGGTGACACACTTCCTCCAGCAAAGCCCTACCCACTCCAACAAAGCCACACCTCCTAATAGTGCCACTCCCTATGAGCTTATGGGATTATGGGGGCCAGTTGCACTCAAACTACCACACAAAATATCAAATGATTTGCCTCTGGATGGTGATGGGGCTCACCTTTAATCTCAGCACTTGCAAGGTAGAGGCAGATGAATCTCTGAGTTTGAGGCCAGCTTGGTCTACAGGGTGAGTTCGAGGACAGCCAGTGCTACACAGAAAAACTCTGCCTCAAAATAAAAATAAATAATTAAAGAAAGAAAGAAAGAAAGAAAGAAAGAAGGAAAGAAAGGTTTGCCTTTGCTTTCAATGAATTAAACAGTTAATCTTTATTCCAGAAGAGTATTGTCTTAAATCTTCACCCCCAAAGCCCGTGGTGGACAGGCCTGTGGAAGCAGCCTTAGCCTCTTCACTTCCCAGAGCAGGCGGTCAATACTTCTCCTACACGGCTTGCGTTTGTGGAAACACAAAGTGAAGACTAAAGTCTCACGGAAGAGGAAGCTGGCACTTGAGGGATAGAACCACTTTTCACTACAGTTTTAAAAACTAGTGTATCAGAGCTGGAGACGGCTCAGAGGTTAAGAGCACTGCCTGCTCTTCCAGAAGTCCTGAGTTCAATTCCTAGCAACCGCATGGTAGCTCACGACCATCCTTAATGAGATCTAGTGCCCTCTTCGGCCATGCAAGCATACATGAGACAGAACACTAAAACAAACAAACAAACAAACAAACAAACAAATTTTAAAACAGCAACAACAGCGAAAACTGGTGTATGTGCTTCGACTTTCTCAAGCTGGATGAAGAAATTTCACTGAACAGTGTTCTCAAATAACGCATACAGTACTGTGTGTGAAAGAATGGGATGTTCTTTTTAGACCCAAAGAAAAACAATAGCGCCTGAAGCCGGAAAGCAAGGTGACTTCATTTACCACCGTCAAGTGATGCCAAGGACTGAGTGCAGTCTCTCCCCCCGCCCCCTCCCATGGGTCCATAGCAGCTCCAAATGTAAATGGAGGCAGTTATCTGTTGTCTGCCCACCCATGTCAGGATCCTGGACATCCTGGCCTGTCATCACTTTGGCCTTATAAGTTTTCCTAATAGGCTTTTGGCCTCTGGTTGATGTGTGATCTGTAACTATCTCCCCACTATTGCTGCCTGGTTTTTCTTCTGGTGTCCTTATTTTACCTCAAAGGTTACGTTTGGGTCACGTGGCCGAATAGGGTTTCTCTTATCAGGAAGAGCAAGAATTTGTTAGCTTGCCCTTCAGGGATGGGCTTAACATGGTTATCATGTGACTGAGCTGTTGTGGAATATTATTTTAATTATGTTGTCTCCTCCCCTCCTCTTCTCTTCTCCTCCTCTTCCCCTCCCCTCCCCCTACCCTCCCCTGCCCTGCATAGCATAACACAAACTGAGTGTGGGGCTTTGGCATTACACAGTTCCAGGTTCAAATCCTGCCTCCCACACTTGATCATTCGGTTAACGTATGGCAGGTTATTGGCAGTGAGCCACCAGGAGCCTTGTTCCTTCCTTTGAAGCAGGTGTGAGGCTGAGGCCCTGTACCAATGGTCTGGGCTTCACACCAGCTGTGCCACTCACTCCCTCCTGGGCCATGGGAAGTCACAGAGAGTCCCCTCAGTGTAACAACAGTCCCTGTTGCCGTGATCGGTTATGGACTCAGACGAGATGATGCATGCAAGCATTCAGCTCAGCTCCTGCTCATTGTGACCCCGACAGATCATGTCATCACGACTTCGGAGAGTGCCCACGGAGCCTGGCGCACAGTTGGTACTAAACACATACTGGTTTAGTGAACACAGGAACTGGGCTGGAGCCAGAGAAGGCAGCCAATGGAAAGTGAGAGTCTGATCTTACTGGAGCCGGGGAAGGTCTCCTCCACTTTTTGTCAGCAGCGTTCTGAGCAATGGTACTGCCATGGGTATTCAGGCAGCAACACTGCCGCATAAGCCCGGGTGTTGGTAGGACACAGTCCTGGGGAAGTCAGAGGACAGTGAACTCTCAAGCTTGGGGTAGGTCTATTGCCTACTGCCCAGGAGCCACCTCGAACAGGTATTTATTGAATGGCATTCTCCTGCTTCCATCTGCCACCTCCTAGCAGAGAGCACCAGCTAGGAAATCTGACTCAGGCAGGACATCCAGAGGTCACTGAAGGAGACAGTGTACTGGCAGAGGGGTTCACAAGTGGTGGGGGCGGGGCGGGGAGCAGGAGGGTGTATCAGTGGTTACATGTCTATGTCAACTACAGCAAGCTCAGAAAATGGGAGGCTGGAAGAGAGGGCTTGCTGTGGAGTAATCCTTTTGTACACTGTGAAGATTTGTTACTAGGATTGGTTTAATAAAGAGCGAACTGACCGGGAGCTAGACAGGAAGTATAGGTGGGACAGCCATAGACACGGAAGAGGCTGGGAAGAAAGGGCAGAGTCAGAGGAGTGGCCAGCCAGATGGATAGGAAGCCACACATGCATAAGAGGTAAATGCCACCAGTTTCAGGGCAGAAGATTAATAGAAACGGGTTAATTTAAGTTGTAAGAGCTAGTTGGTAATAAGCCTGAGCTATCAGTCAAGCATTTATAGACAATTTTAAGTCTCCATGTGGTTATTTGGGAACTGGTAGGTGGGAAAGAAAAGTTTGCCTACAAATGCTGGAGGAGGCCTGATATTGAATATCAATAGCACAAGGACATATATAGATTGGCAGTCCACATGCACATGGGCATCCGTGTAAACATTTGCACACAGACACATTAGAAATGCATGCACACAGAGATACTCAGAGACACACTCCTGAATACACACTGAAACATCTAGCAACAGATACACAAAGGGTTGGCCAGAGGTTTAAGCTTCAGGAGCAGTGCTGCAAGTCAGACTGCCCAGGCTAAGCAGCTGATACCAGATACTGGGTTTTAAGCCTCACCCCAGAGATTGTGGGAAATCTGTCCTTTCCATGAACTCTTCAGACAGCACTAAGGGGGTGATCCCTGGACCATAATTTGAGAGACACTTCTTTAATGCCCATTGTTGAAATGATGACTTTGGATACATGAACAAAGGAACGGAAATGACAATTCTAGTTTCAAAAGCCTCTGTCTACCCTTAGCAGAACAACAGTGAGACAGGCCAGGAAGGATAACACAGGGGGCCTGGTTTAGCAAGGATGGCTGTGGACATAAAGAACTGACGTTCCCTTCTGTCTAGTCTCCTCTTCCTCCTCCTCCTCCTCCTCCTCCTCCTCCTCCTCCTCCTCCTCCTCCTCCTTTTCCTCCTCCTCCGGACCCCCTGGGTGGCAGTACACAGTTGCACACATTAGTGAGCAAACTTTCTTTGAGTGTCCAGGCCAGGGCGGCACCTACAGTCTTCTTCTTGCCCTCATTCTCCAGGCTCTGTAGCTCCCCACAGTCCCCAGATGCTATCGTCTTTTCTCTCACCCACTTCAAACCACCAGACCTGCCCCTCATACCATCTTCTTCCCCAGGAGAGGGAGGCCATTAGCACATGCTCCCTGGCCTGGTTGTCCTTGTGGGGACAAAGGCATGTTAGGAGAGAGCATAGGCTCATAGGATCCAGGCTCACAATCTGGTGGCCTTAGGCCTGACCTGAGCATCATCCTTAACACAATGCCCTGGGCAGTGCAGAGGTCGGTGTCAGAGGGAAGAGATCAACAAACACATTGACTGGGGAGGGGCAGTTCCAACACCCAAGCTCACACCTTCTGCTAGTGTGGATTTGTGCAATAGGATAATTTGAGAGCAAAATACTGCATCCCCTACCTGTTCTGTGGAGTATTCCTCCATCCCTCCTTTCCTTTCCTCTCTCTTCCTCCTGTTCTGTGGAGTATTCCTCCACCCTCCATCTATCCTTTCCTTTCCTCTCTCTTCTTCCTGCTTTTTGTCAAGCAAGTAGCCATACCTTGTGTTTTGGGGGAGCATAGAAGGAGAAAGAAATGTCTCTGAGACAGAGGGGCCCCATGGCAAAGAGAAGGGAGGTGTGAGTCCTCTGAGTGCTACTGTCTGTCTCCTGCAGCCTCTGGATGGGCAGAACCCCACAGTCTACCATCCCCATGCTGGACAAGTATACTCTTATGGGAAAACCCATGGACAGGAACACAGAGCGCCTGGTACTGCCCCGTGCCAAGCAAGGTGCTGGGACCTTTAAGTCTGGACGAAGATGGGCTTGAACTTTCCACTAGTCCTGCCGGATTGGGGCCACAGGAAATCTTGGATTTTGTGTTAAGAGAATAAAAGAATGTTCTGCTTCTACTACTGTTGGGTTTGTGGTCTGACGTTTTTCTTCTAACTGATTTTAGCGGTTAATTTCTTCTGTGTGTTTATGTATATGTATGAGTGTGTAAACACATTTATCAACAAGTTTTAGAAAGGCAGACAAGAGGCCCAGTGTGCATGTCCATGTGTGTGCACACCCTTCAACTCAGCACTCCCCGCCCTTTCTCTCGCCCCTTGCCTCTCAATTCAGCCTTGAAACAATGAGTAGAATCAGGCCTTGCAATGGCTAACCTTGGTTGTCCACCTGCCTGGATCTGGGATCGACTAAAGTTCGAGCACTGGGTACACCGGTGAGAGCAATTCTTGATTAGACTGTATGAAGCAAGAAGACCCACTGTAAATGTGAGTGGCACCTTCTGGTGGAAATCCCAAACAATGGACATAGAAGAAAGAAGCCTTCCCTTTAAATGGCTTGCCCTCATGCTGGCTGGCAAGTTCATCTACCCTGTTTCTGTGGTATTGCCCAGCTGCTGTTGGAACCAGTCTCTCCAGGCTTCCAACACAGACTGAAGACCAGCAGCTCTCCAGGAGCCCTCCAGTCCTTCACTGCCAGAGTGGGACTGCAGAGTTGGCTAAACCCACAAGCTGAGCGATCAGGTTCTTGTCCTCTTCAGTATGAATAGTCATTGTTGGACTACCCAGACCCCACCATGGAAGCCAGTTTCATAAATACCACATTATACACATATGTGCACACATGTAGACATGTTCATTCTGTCAGTTCTGCTCCTCCAGAGAACACTGAATTAGTGTCCACTCTAAAAGAGGAAGAGGAAACTAGAGTGCCCAGCCCTCTGCCCCAGCCTCTTTACATCCTTTAGGTGTAGCTGCTCACCTCTGTCTCTGGGTGCTTCCTGCTGTGGGGTAGACGTGTGAGATTGTATTCTCCACACCAGGTCTCGAGGCTGTTGTCCATGTTGCCTTTACTTCTAGTGTCTGGGACAAAGCAGAGAGAGAGGTCTGAGAGTGAAGGCAGAGGTTCTTATTCTACTTTAGAAATAGTGGAGCTTAATTTAACAACAAAAAGGAAACAATCTGAAAAGTAGGGATTTTTTACCTTCTCGGAATGAGCATGTTTGATATCTCACAGGAGTCCTGTAAATTATTGCTTGAATTCTTGAATTCACGCATTTAATTAAAGTCTACTTAAGAGCCAGCGTCAGGTGCAAAGGCAACTCCATTTCCCCAAATTCTGGTGGGGAGACAAAAGCGAGCATTGCTCAGGAACTTGTGAAGACATTTCCCCTCTACCAAAAGGAGACATTTCCCTTATCACAGGCAGAAGGATGCCTATTAGTATATCATAGTGCATGCCTGCCTCCAGGCTCCCTCAGAATCCCAAGGACTGAGACCCGTCTCATCTCCTCCCTTATTCGAAACTCCTCCTGGTTCATGGGCTTTCCTTCCGCCAGCTACTCACTGTCCTTCCGACTCTGCTATTTCAGTATGTTTACTCTTGCTCCCTTTTCCTCCTTTCTCCGTCTCCCTCCTCCCCTTCCCTCTGCTCTCCTTCACCTTCCCTCTTTTCCCTCCCCTTCCCCCTCTCCCACACTGCTCTGGACTCTTACAGATGTCTCTGGCTGTCCTCTCTCTTATCTACATTAAAAACCTCCCCTTTAACCATGCCATGGAGCTGACATACTACCAGTTTACACATCTGCTGCTAAAACCCAGGAAGGGCCATAAACAGCCCCCTTTCCAAGGGCCCAGCCTCTCCTAACGGATCCAAGCTGCTGAGTTAAGACTCTCATGAGACACCAATCATTTGTTCCTTCCGGCTTCTGCCACCCATCTTTTTCAGCTCCAGATGTCAGAGCCCACCTGGAACTTGAATGTCATCTTGGAGTCACCTGCCCTGTCTCTCTCCGCTCCTGGAGCTACTACTGCTACAAAAGTTGTGCTAGTATACCAGGCAGCTTCTCCTCCTACTGGGTGCCCAGAACATGGAAAGGGACATCTTTCCTTGATGATTTGGGACGTTTCCCCCTGATAATTCTTAGTCCACTTGGGGATGCTCTGAGTTGAATTTCTTATCCCCCATCGTTGCTCTCCCTCCCCTAGCTGTCTGCTCTGTCTGTCTCTCTTTGGCTTGCTGCTGCTTGTTGTTTAAGTCCTGCAGGTTCACTTCTCCGTGCCGTCCCCGGCCTCTAAGATGTTGGAATCCTCCCTCTGGCAGAGTTCTCGTTTTTGACCCTTTCCCCCTGTGTCTCAGCTCCCTCCTGGAGCTTGTTGGAATCCTCCCTCAGGTGGAATTCATGTGACCCTTCCCCTAAGCCTCTCCCACAGTGTCTTTCCTGACTTCTCTGTCCCAGCTGGGTGGGGTCGATCCCCATGGGCTTTCCCCATTCAGAACCCTTGACCCCTGCCTTCTCTAACCCCTTCTCTGACTCCTTAAGCCTCCTGTCTTTCTGCAAACAGCTTGGCCTCAGTACAGCCCAAGGGACAGTTGATGGCACACTCCATTTCTTCTGCCACCACACAAACAAATGACCCTGAGATCTCTTATCTCTAAAGGTTTTCTGCTCTCCACTCTCAAAAAATCTCTTATTTCTAAGCCTTCTTTGCTCTGTTTGCTTCTCTCTCCCTCTAATTGCTAAATTCAGACTTACAGCAATTCAATTGTTTTTTGAGTATGGATTTTTTTAAAAAAGTGTTTTATGCCATTATATTCTATTTAAAAAAAAAGCTGGCTATGGAGTTGGGTTATGGTCATTCCTCTCCAGACATGAGCATGCATGTTTAAAAACTTTCTCCAAACTCTAGAAAAAGCAAGACCTTACCCCAGCACTATAGGGGTATAAAAGTCAGGAGCAGGGTCTTCAGTAGTTAGTATTGAGCATTCATTCTCCAGACACACTGAGGATAGGAAGACACTGAAGTCTCAGGATTCTCCAGCCACTCTGAAGAGAGGTTACAGTCTGAGGTTTGGTGGAGCCACGATTGCATTTTAGTCTGACGTAGAGAAAGAGCTAGTGGCCAGCTGCTTTACTTTTCTGATCTTCAGCTTGAAGCTTGAACCCCAATATCAGTCTCTGGGTGTGTGTGTGTGTGTGTTACAAATAATTTTGAATAGGAAGTATAATCCATGGGATTTCTATATCAGTTAAAATGACAGAGACTTACCCACTTACCTACACAGCCAGCCCGGGATCCTACATGGTGATACTGATGACTTTGTTGGGGCAGAAGTTGTCAGTCTTTGGCTGTCATACAGGACAGCACTAAATCTTCAGCTGCTACAATGGGCAGCATCAACCTTTGGCCACCAGACCCATGATGCCTGAGAGGTTTTTCTGGAGTAGGAACTGACCTACCTTAGAGAAGCAGAGTAGGGCAGTCACCTAAACAGTATCCACAGTTTGGCAGTGGTTGAGGCACACGCAGTTCTTGGACCTTGGTCAGCCTTACCACAATCCTAGTGGAGTCTGCAGTCACCCATGTTTGGAGGGAGCCTCAGCTGCCACCAGAAGCTGGCATTTTTGTTTCTCATGGGAAGCCTTTTTCTTTAGACACCTCTCATGCCATATTCAGCAGATCTCTGGGCGTTTGAGGGCCATCATCTAGTATAGTAAGTATACAGGATTTTAAACAAACTTTACTTGTTTTTAGTTACTAGCTTCAGGCTCAACCTTGACAACTGTGGAAGACTAAAGGTTGTCCCTGTAAATGTACTACATTTGTACTTAGCATGACTACAAGCATGGTTCTAAGCACGTTAGAGAATTTGATTATTTATAATGTGACCATTAACTTTCCCATCTTAATTATCTTCAATAGTTACAAGTTGGTAGCTTTTTATAAGATCAGGGTTTTACAGTTTTATCCCTGTTAAGATTGAGCATTAAAAATTTGAATTGCCCGAGATCCATGCCATGAGAGGGAGCTGAGTTCTCCTTCTGTGGCCTCTCTGCAGTTTCCTTACTTCTCTAGCCTCAGGTTCTGTCTAACACCTGGTCACATTCCTCACCCTTCCTGCCTGCAGAGCAGCTACAAACCCCGTGCTTTAGGATCTCTACACGCACACCCAGCCGCACGAAGCGTTTTCACGGCCACCCACTTTCATTTTGATTTGAGGCGAGGATAGAACAGGATCAGAGCAGCACAGAACAAGCTTCGCAGATCTCTAGGTTCCTCTCAGTGTCCCCGCCTTCCTCAAAGCCCAGGGCCCCTACTTGCCCCACCCCCAGCCCTCTATGGCTCTTGTAATTGGTGCTCCCACCTGTCTTTCAGCATGTGCTGCCTTCCCTGGTGCCTCCCTCCAGGGAATCAGAAGAATGGGGGCCAGCTCTCCAGCTGAAATCTCTGTTGTACCTTCTCCTTCTGCTCGCCGGGGCTGCCCCTCCGCTTCACGGCTACTCACCTTTGCGTCTTCTCTGACATAGTCCTGCGTTCAAGCCTCCGTTTAGAGACTGTATCCAGATAGGTTTTTGGGAAACCCGATTCAAGGCACAAGTCTGGCTGACCCAGGGAGTGCCCTATTGCATTGGTCTGTATTTCACGTCTGTCTTTTATTATCACCCTCACTTTATTGGCAGAGAAACCAAGGCTCAGAAAGGTACAGCATACTCAGACTCACCCTGCCTCTTAGTGGTCCAGCCAACTGGAAAAGCACTGCCACTAGACAATGTGTTACCCCCTCCGCGGCCGCCCACTTAGTTTGGTTAGATAGTTACTGTGTGGTGAAATGAGTGTTTCCGTGGGTAAAATTAAAGCAGATGAAACTAGCTTGGGAGAAGAGAAATCCCACATGCCTTTGTAGTAGAAGTTAGTCATAAAACCAACAGTCCCAAGGTGAGGGGACATTATTAGGGTAAGCTAGTTCTCATGTGTTAGATAAGTGCCCCACCACTGGAGAACTACAAAATCCTTCTTTTAATACCTTTGTGTGTCCCATCTGGAAAGCTCAAGCCTCCAGCTCCTCCTCTCATTTGGCCAGCGGGTGACCCTAATAAGGTCAAATGATAAGGAAAAGCCCAATAAGCCTGAGCGTCTGAGTTTGGGAGGCAATACATGCCAGGTGGCTTCAGGGGCCACCTCTGCCTTGCTAGAATTGCCTGAGAACTGAGGAGCTAGCTTTTGACTTTGAATCTGTAGGGAGGTCTCATAGTTCTTATCTCCTAATTATGAGAAGCAAAGGAGTCATTTTTAAATGCGGAGTCTAGCTTTTGATAGATGCTGAGGGCTGCTGTTACCTCTGATTCACGGGTTCTGACCTCTGACATTGCATCCATGTCTCTTCTGCAACAGGCTTCCCTGTGCATCCCAGGCGGGTCTGGAACTTGCCATCCTCCTGTGTCAGCCTTGCTAATACTGAAATTCCAGGCGTGTGTTGCCGCCGGGTTCAGCTTAGAGCTGTTCAGATGTTCTCTTTGCCAGCTACTCCCTGAGGTCCTTGTGGCCTAGGCACGGGCACAACCCAGTATTAGCCACTCCATTGCCATCAACCTGATTTCTCAATTCAAGGACCCACGGAGAATACCTTATTTGTAGCTTTTGGTTCACAGTTCCTACAAGAAGGAGCTTGATTGTTCCAGACTCATCAGTCAAGGAGACCTAGTTAGGTCGTCCTCCAATCAGGCCCCACCTCAGTTCAGTCATCCAAGCACCGGACAGAACCATTGCTCTCTCCACTTCGTGCTTGGTTGGATACGGAAGGGTGAAGGCCAAGAAGGGACCACAAGGAGGCACAGTCCCTGTGCTTACATCACCGCTCTGTGCTGCCACTCATAGCCCTGCCTTTCCCGCGGGAAGCTTTCTCTCCCATAGACCACATTAGAACAACCCTTTTAAAGGCTTTGTCTTCTCTCCATCTCTTATCCCGCTGCGCCTGGCTCCCCTTCTAGCCACTCTCAGGAAGTCCGTCACTGAATTCTTGTTTATCTTCTGGAAATCACTCCCAGAAACCTCAGTCCTTTACCTACTCGAGCTTCTTACCCTGTGAGCCACCCGGTGTAACAGTTCCGCTGTTTCCTGTGAGGACGGGCAAGCAGCCTGAGGCTCCCCCGGCTACACGCCTCAGGTCCCCCGCTTCTGAACTGCAGCAGATAGACTGTGAGCTTCTAGAAGACAAAGATGGCATTCTTCAAAGGGACCGGAAAGGGCTGCTGAAGTGATTATTGACAACGGCTGAATCATGGAATGGATGTTTCACACCGTGAGGAGTCCATTTGAAGTTATGCCCCTACTCAGAATGGAGCTAACTTTCGATATGAGGAGGGGTCAGCAGTCTGTCCTCGTAGGTACTGTGAATGTTCATCTCCAAAGGGAAGACGTAGTTGCCTTCAGAATGTGACAGTGACAGGGACAGGAAGCTACAAAGCCACAACGCCAAGCCAGAATTTTCTTAGCTTGAGAGAGGAAATCAAAGCATTTTACAGAAAACCACCAACACTTGGTGTTTAGTGGCGATTTTCCCCCCCCTGAAAACGGAGACTCACTTCTAGGTATCTATAGTAAGTGGTACCAGGTACCCAGGGTCAACAAGAGGAAGCCCAGAGATGACTTAGATTGGCCCAGAGCTGTGTCTTCAAGAAAACACGTAAGGCTACTGCCCCTACCATTAGAGGGTGGAGCCAGAGATAATCCATGAGGCTCTCTGTCAAGCACAGAGAATAATCTATGTGGTTTTCACCATAGTGTTAGTTTAGTTTCGAGGCTATGATCTTCATTTCATAGACTCATTTGACGAATTCTTTATCTCTGCTCTGTTTTTCAGATAGGGTCTCTGTAGTCAATGCTGGTACTGAAATAACACACACTTCTGCCCTAGCTTCCCAGGTTCTGGGATTATAGTTGTGAGCCACCATGCCTGGCCGAGGGGTTTTTATACACCTGGACTGAATTAGACTCACTTTCCTATTAGATTCCCGGTATCCAGAGCGGGCAAGAGAAGGTGAAGAGGCTCCCAAGGCTGCATGTAGCTGTACTGAAGCTCGCTTGTGTGTGCCTGTGGTACGAGGTACAGGCACTCGGGAACACATTTGATGGAGACCTGTTCTTCCATGTTGGGAAGGATGAAGAGGCTCTGCCTGGCACTGAAATGGTTAATGGATTTGATCACTTTGTCGGGAACGTGAACTGCTTATTATATATAGTGCATGATTTAAGAACTCAGAAGCCAGTTCCCTTGCTATCATCATGAACCGATTCTGAGCCATTCTTGGTATAAAACTCGGCCTTGGAACTAGCTATAACAAGAAATTCAATTACAGCAAATCCATGGTAATCTCCCCCCCCCCATTCACCTTCAGATTTCCAGAAATCATGTTGCACAGCACAAGGGAGAGTTCATGTTGCTCACACAGCACAAGGATATCTTCCTTGTAAATCTCTTCATAGAAATAAACTTTTTAAGAAAAATCTCTCCGGCTGGACGGGGAGGGGAGGAGGGCGAAGGGTTCTACCGCCTGCTCCATCTTTTCTACACTCAGTAACTGCTTGTGCAGGAGCCGCCCTCCTCCCCTGTAAGATGACTCTGGAGGCCCTCTTTACTCTATGTGGTAGTCAGTTTTCTGTCATTGTAACAAGTTGCCACATACAGTGAAAATGTTAACTGTGGCTCACTGTCTGTTTGGAGGTTTTAGTCAGTTCTCATCTGTCCTATTGCTTGTGGATTTGTGGTGAGGCAGCATTTCTCAGGGGAGTGGGTGGTAGATCGGAGCTACTCGTCTCACGTTTAGGGAGTGAGAGAAAAAGAGGGAGTCCCACAATCCCCTTGGAAGGCACACCTCCAGCGATCTAAGAGCTCTGAACTAGGTCCTGTCTCCAATTCTCCTTCACCTCCCAGTAACATCACCCTGGAGACCCACATGCTAATCCATAGGTTACTGGTATGGGGGGGGCACAGGGGTGGGACTCCAAACCCAGGCTATAGCATCTCACGAAGTCTTCATCACAGAGTCTTTCCTTCAAAGTCAAACTCCTCTATAGAATCCTCCACCATACCCAACCACCACCGAGTAAGATATTCCTCTGTATCATGGGCTGTATAAACACCTTTGTGTGTGGGGTTGTATATGCTATGTATGTAGTTATTAACTCTGACAAATACATTTCAGACACTTTATATATGTAAAACAGACTAAAGAAATGTTGGAGTTTGAGTTTAGTGGGTGGGTGTTTGTACTCCATTTTCTCCAGGTTCTGATATACTACTTCCTACTGGGCTGACATGGGCTAATTTCCTAAAATGTGTACATTCCTGAAGCAAAAGAAAATGGGAAAACTAGTTATGTTCCATTTCACTGGAGAATATTAGTAATTATTTTTATCTTAGCAATACTTGTCAGCAAAGAGGATGTTTTATAATCACTCAATTTGTTAAAAACCTCTATGGAAGTGTTAAATGGGTCTCAAGGTTTTTGTAACTGTCACAAGATAGAACTGAATTCTCTTCAAGCTTGTGGGCTGGTGGTCGGACCTTGCTTCTACCCACAAAATTTTGTCAGATGCAGTTTAATGGCATCTGAGGCTGAGCCAGACAAGGCAACACTACCCCGCCCAGCTTCTACCTTCAAAGCACTTGTCCTTAGAAGCAAGACAGCGTGCTGAGAGGACGTCCACAGCACAGAAGGCACGTGTGAAAGTTCTACGGCCAACAGTACCAGTCAAGGTCCCAGGTAACAGCCTCTTTCAATCATACCACAGGGAGTCAATGTGACTCCTCAGGAGTGGTCTGGCTGCAGGGAAACGCCAGTGACAGTCACTTCACTGAGCCAGGGCAGGGGGCATACAGGTCATGTGCCCCCCCATCTGTTGTGACTCAACATTCTTGAATCCTGTTTCTGATCCCAAGGATGAACAAATATAGTTGAACAATGACCTATAGTTTCACGATAGTTGGTGTGAAATGTCTTGACAGGTGGCATGTACTCCATCCATTTCTGTGTCTTTCATGACAGCCTGTGGCACAGGGACACCAGAGGCCCATCTTCCCTCCCATCTTTGCTACCACTGTTAAACTTCATCATTGCTTTGTTTTCAAAGGGATGTGAAGATCTTGGCAAAGGAAATTTTAGACTTTAATGACTGGTAAGGATTTGGTACCCCTCAAAGTTTGTACTGTATGGCATCATCATCAAACTATATGCCATCAGCATTATCATTTAGCCTCGTATTTTTTTTTTGGTAGTAAAAAAAGAAATGGAAAAATCCAGTCTGGGAGACATAAAAATCCTGTATACACATACATTAGGTTGATCCTGTGATCAACATGGTGCCTAAGAATCACAGTATAGTAATCCTAATTGTTTGTCTGGAATCTGTCTTGATTGCTAGATTATGTATCCTGTAAAGGTACACATAACTGTCAAGCCCACCATTTCAGGTTAGCAGAGTGTAATGGCTACCACTCACCTGGTTTAAATACTCAAATGAAAACAGAAGGGAATTATGTGAGGGGGATAAGAGGACCAGCAAGAGAATGGGTGATGAGCATTGTACAGTAATACACATGTTTGGAAAATGTCTAAGAAACATATTTTGTATGTTTATTAAAATATTCATGAAAAGGGAAACCAACAGAAAAAGTCTGTTTCAATAGTTTTCTGTGTTCTACAAGCTTCCCTTGAGGTCTGGTTCCTGTTGACTCTATGAACTGTCATTTCTCCATCTTCTTACATTAAATTCATAACTTAGTTATACCTCTTTGGCTTCCAGAAGGCCAACCATTGGCCTTTTATCCTCTCTTGAATGTCATTTGTCCCTGTCAGAAATGCGTGGACTCATACTCTTTCTACGTCATTGACACCCATTCCTTAATGGTTAAGCTTTCCAGTGTCAAAAATCCCTGGTAGTATACAAGTAAGATCATCTCTAAAAAGTGTATTGCAATTATTGTTTGTGTGTCTTCCTCATCTACTGCAATAAGACCCTCTGAGGAACTCTTTTTCACTTTATCTCACAGATATGTAATGGGGGATGTCCTGTATGCTGTGAATATATGTCACTCTTAGCGGTTGTTTAATAAATGCTGATTGGCCAGTAGCCAGGCAGGAAGTATGGGCAGAGCTATCAGACAGAAAGAATTCTGGGTAGAGGAACTCAAGGAGTGAGTTGCAGAGAGATGCCATGTAGCCACTGAAAGAGTAACAGCCTTGTGGCAATACACAGATTAATAGAAATGGGTTAATAATTAAGAGCAAGCTAGCCAAAAAGTAGCCTGAGTCACTAGATACACAGTTCATAATTGCTATAAGCCTCTGTGTGTTTATTTGTGACTAAACAGCTATGGGACAGGACGGGACAGAAACATCTGCCTATAATGATGTGTTGATATTTGTAAATAAAGAACAAGAAGACTGTCACCTGGCACATATGGAAGCATGAAAATACACCAAACTCTTTTCTAGAAAATCTCACTGTATACTGGTGTTCTGGATAGTCTTATGTCAGCTTGACACACAAACTAGTTATCTGAAAGGAGGGAACCTCAATTGAGAAAATGACTCTGTAAGATCAGGCTGTAAAGCACTCTCTTGATTAACGATTGGTGCGGGAGGGACTAACCCATTAAGGGTTGGTACACCCTGACTGGTGGTCCTAGGTTCTCTAAGAAAGCAGACTGAGTAAGTCACGGGAAACAGGCCAGTAAGCAGCACCCCTCCGTGGCCTCTGCATCAGCTTCTGCCGTTTGAGTTACTATCCTTCAATGATGAACAGACAAGTATGGAAGTGTAAGCCAAGTAGACCCTTTCCTCCCCAACCTGCTTTTTGCTCATGGCATTCCATCACAACAATAGAAACCCTAGTTAAAACAACTGCCATATTCTTTTAAAAAAAGCATCTTTTTTTAGGTTTGTGCATATGTTTTGCTTGCATGCACATGTGTATTGTGTATGTTCAGTGCCTGAGGCCAAATGAAGTGTTGCACCCCCTGGAATTGTAGTTATGAATGGCTGTAAGCTACCACATGGGTGTTGGGAACTGAACAAGTGCTCTTGACTGCTGAGCCATCCACCAGCCCCCAACCTAGTTATTCTTTAAGCCTAGAACTTCTACAGAGCTTTGGTTTCAGATTAACGCACTCTGAAAATTCCTTAGGGTGGTAAACCCTAGGAAATATCTTTATGCATTTAAATGTCTTAAGACATGGACCTGGGTTAATTCTGACTTTATTTGTACAGTGTGTTCTGTGCACCTTTAGATGCTGCTCGTGTGGATCTCATGATAATCCTGTATGCTAGTTGAGGTACACATGAAAAAACTCAACTTCAGAGAAACCAAGGCACTT